TTATTGACCTTTTATCGATCGCGCCCTGTAGGACCACATGTATGTTTAGCGTGTGCACCAACTGTATATGTGTGTATTTATTAATGTACGTAACTCATTTGTTGAAAGCCGCCTTCGGCTGATCGTTTCTATAGTATTTGCAACATACTGTTTTACGATGTTAATTTATCCCATTTAAAACCCGAAATAATACTTCTGTTGGACAACACATTCGGATATATTTAAGAATACCTCGATGCAACTAAATTAAACCACATTTCCGTTGTAAGTACTATTAATATTTGATATGATGTGATGCTGCTTACCTTTGAGTTGCGGACTGTCCAATACTAGCTCAGGTATCGACTGAATGACCACTCTGGTGCCAGCCGCGGTTATATAGTAGTCATGCTGCAGGGTTTCCCGCGCTACAACCAGTCAAACTTGTTATGACAACGTGGGCCTGCTTCTACTACGAGAATTCCTACGCAGAATACCGACGGCTGGTGACGTCACACAGGCGACGCTGGATTAGCGGGATATGTTGGGTGAATTCTACGTAGCGGGGAAACCCTGGCGCGAGTAGTGCACCAAATTGCCGACCATGCCATGCATCTTCTCCTTCGTGCATATAGACATTGATTACGAGCGAGCGAGCGCAGCGAGCGAAGCGAGTCTTTTCAATATAACGGAAAAATCTCAGTATGAGCGGCCCGGCCCGGCCCGGCCTGTAACGCTTATGAGAGGCTTATATCTCAGCAACCGCTGGACCGATTGGCCTGCGGTCTTTTTTGCTGGGAATCCCCATCCCTTCTACCCCGTAATTGACTACTTTTGATACATCTCAGTGACCGTCGTGGCACGTGCCACGTGAAAAGCCAAGGGTATTCAAGCTGTTTTGCAAAAGTAGTGATTTTGAGAGGCTCATATCTCAGCAGCCGCTTGGGCGATTGACTTGCGGTAATTTGTGTAGGGTAGCAGCATCCCTTCTACCAAAAATAGGATACTCTCGATGCATGTGGGTCACCCCCAGTGCACGTGCAAACAGCAAAATACAACAATAAGAGGTGTCAAATTTGTTCCCATTTTAATAACTCGGTAATTACTGCGGCGATTTCGCTGAAACTTGGCATACAGGTAGGCACCCACCAGGCAATGCATTCCCATGTGTTGCGGTTAAGGTGCTACTGCACGTGCGCACGTGCAGGGGGCGCTTCCAGATCTCGAGAACGGCTGGGCCGATTGCGCTCAAATTTGGTACACGGTTGGGGACCAGTTAGTAGGGTCAGGTGCCTTGCAAAAGTCAGTTTGGACCCCGTTTGCACGTGCGCACGTGCATAGTGCCGCTTCCAGATCTCAGGAACGACTGGGCCGATTGCGTTCAAATTTGGTACACCGCTAGCGACCGGTTAGAGGGGTGCTTTGCGCAAGCCCGTTGGAAGTACCCTCACGCCCTTCCGCACGTGCAGGGCTCACTATCTCGCTCGCTCGTTCCTCGCCCAAAAGGCGTTTTACTGGTTATTGAATTGCAGCAGTAGCTTTGTTGTTGTCTATCTTCCTTGATACACCTCCTTCATGATCTGTACCCCTACAGTTCTAGTAAATTAATTCTCGCCCTTACTTACGTTTTCACAGTCAACGGGAGGGGGGAGGCGATCGGATCTCCCGCACTCCGATCACAGATGGACCAGAGCTTCGTGGAAAAACTGATGTTTTTCCGATGGTACCTTATTCTAAGGTAGTAGATCATTGGTTGACCGTACAGGTTTGTACTGCATTATATGTATAGTTGACTCTTCACAGTAAAATGGCTATTTTGATTGTCGCGTCTGAGATAAAAGGGGAAACAAGTTAGAATGCACTTAAAAACCACAACACTCAGTAATCATACCAAACCGTTCATTCCTTCCATCCCAAAACGCAGACACAACTCGGAAATCGACCAATTTAAACTTCTCAAAGACAGGTTCCTGAAAATATGGATCAGGCGACTTTATCCCGCGCTAAGCCAACTTCACCATGATCGGGGGCCTTTTTGGCCTCACCAGGTTATCCCAGAAAGTAAGCAATTTAGAAAAAAAAAACACGGCAAAAAGCAATATATAAATCGCTATAGGATCTTTCAGAATCATTCGATCATTTTTCGATCAGGTCATTGCTGAAGTCACTGAAGGTCACCAACAATAAAATATCACGGATTTTGGCTACCGATTTTAACAGCATGCACCAATCGGCGCAGTAAGTCGGAAACCAATGAAGCTACAGCGCCGAGGAAAGGCGCATTCGATAGCTCTTTCGAATGCCTCTTTGAGCATCGTTCTGTGATTGGATCTAAGTCAACGGTTTAGCCCCCAGAGGACAAACACTCAGCATTTGACCTTTTACGGAAAACGTTTTCCTGAAATAACTTTTGACACAAGCTTGCCTCACCCTGATTTTACCTGCATCGCGTTTTTTCGTGTCGAGACGCGTAGAATGAACTATAAGTTGACCTGAAAAGGTGAAATTGAACTATAACTTATAAGTTGACCTGAAAAGGTCAATTTCGAAATTTGACGTAAGGTCAAGGTCAAAGTTGCATATCTATCGAACCGTATCGTTGAGCTGAACGCATGCACGGTGTTTTCAGCGCTCAAGCATGCTCCTATTTAAAAGCTTGATTTTTTTTTTTAACTGTTGACGATGTTTTTGTCCAAAAGAAGAGTATTTCAATTTTCTCCCATTGGCTTATAACGATCTCAAAATTGACTCAACTTTAGGTCACCGATATAAAAATTCCGAGGTAAATATGTGAATTATTGGTACTGATTTCCTCATGCAATAGCTCGAGTTTCAAACTTATGGATAGCAAACTGTACGAATGCCGAATGGCAGAATAACAAAATTTATTAGAGGCACGGTCACTTGAAGCCTTCGGGTCCTGGCGGCTGGCAGTAAAGCACAACCACATCGCATTCAGAAACTTGCATTTCTGTGCTCGAGTTGTGAGAGGCCTGCGCAAGTTTGATCACTTTTCCGGAGAGTTCGTGTTCCGCGCCGAGCAACTGGCTACCTTCCGCAGACTTCACCTGATTAGATTTTCCTGATTAGATACTTACCTACAGACATTACAGCCCTGTTTTCGTTTGTATCCACTCCGCATCACATCTGCCAGACTCAGACAACTTTCATGCCCGGTATCAAATAAATGTTCTCAGGTGGTTGTCACACAGTAGTGTCATGTTAACCCTCGCCGGACCTATTGGTTTTCTACATACGCGCCAGCCGGGGGGGGGGCGGGTACGACCCCCCTCGCCGTTTCGCCCCTGGTGGAGCTAGCGCGTCGCGGAAAAACGAGCGTGTGCGCCGTTACGAGATGCAGGGATTGGTATCCGATTGTAAGGTCCTAGGTCAACCGGTGACCTACGAGGTCAGGTCAAGTGCCCCAAGGTACGTTCAGTTTTTGGTGAATAACTTCGCAAAAATGCCCGCAGAGCCGCGATTTTGGCAGCATCGTGTTCGCCTCGCTGAGGCGCGTCGAATGATATACTTTTTGTTCGGGTCAGGTCAACTCAGGCGCGGATACAAGGGGGGGGGGCCATGGGGGCCATGGCCCCCCCCCCTTGGCCGATTTTTTTTTCAAAAATAAAATAAAAAGTTAAAAAGCTGAAAAGGGGGCCTCCTGAAAATAAAGTGGCCGAAATCCGATGAGTTTTTTTTTTAACCTACCCACTTAGTTATTTCTTAGAAGACTAGCTGAGAAGACTTCTTTGTTAGAAGATTGGTAAAGCTTTTCATAACTTGGAGGTCTCTTATACTCACAGAGATGACCACTTTTACAGGGCCTCCTAACCTGCACAGAGGGCCTCCAAGCCTGCACAGATGTTGAGATGTTGCCTGAACAGCTAGATAAGCTCAATAGACGCAGTTTTTTTTTTGGGGGGGGCCCAACAAGTGGGAAGATGGGGCCTCCAACAGGTGGGATTATGGGGGGGGGCCTCCTGGTTTCTAATGGCCCCTCCCTTGGAGATTTTCTGGATCCGCCCCTGGGTCAACTTAGGGTGTTGACCTCAGGTCAAGGTCTGGTCAGCACCCCAAGGTCACGAAGTTGGTCGAAAGAGGTCATGTCGCATATCATTCGATTCGGCAGGTCTTCCTGAGTCCATTGGTGGCTTTTCCGACTCGCTAGCTCAATTTGATCGTAGTTATTGACGAAAAACGAATATGACCTTGATGACGTCATAAATGACGTCACGCAAGGTCAACATTGCAAAAGTGACGCATCTAACCTTGCAAAAAGTGCATCAAATCACGATTCTGTGTGCTTGAGATAGTTGGAGATCGTTCCCGGCGCCAGAATAGCAGTTTTCAGTTTTCCCCATTGACTTACCAGGTATAATGGTGAGGTCATGAAAATGACCTGACCTCATGATATGACATTTAGGAAAAATCCGAGAGATACAAGTTGTGAGACTCATAATGGATACTAGATCCTGCAAGTTTCATTTCCCTGTGACATCTCCTCTGGCAGTGAGGGCGTTGCGAAGTTGCGACATCTGAAGACCGTGCAGAGGTTCACTTATGACGTCATAGGTAAGTGACCTGACCTGACCCAAAAATGCGGTTGGTGTCAAAAGATGCGGCTTGAATCAAAGGTCAGGTATGCTAAGTTTCAGCTCTCTATCGCCAGCGTGTTCGGAGCTATCGCGAAAAAACCCTAGGGGGAGCGGCACCCGCCCCCCCCCCCCCCCTCGGACGGCGAGGGTTAAATTTGTCATCGTGCGAGGCTAAGGCCGAAGTGCCTGACTGAATTTGCGTTTAAACGTCACCTCAAGTAGCTGCTGCTTTGATAGGCTGAGAGCGATGAGTAAAGTGAGTGGTGCCTAAGCATAATTTGTTGCCTATTAGCCCCACCTTCATCGTGAATATCAATAGACGAAATGTTACAGGAGTAAAGTAAATCTCTCCGCATCGATAGCCTTACAGGTAGCCGTTTCTGATAACCGCTTAACTGCAAAAATGTTGCCGCTGCTGCAAGTTTTCAAGAATTACCACCAGGAAATGAGTAACATGGAAGGATTTGCGTGGCGGGCGGGCCACGCGATTCCCGGAGCTGCCTGCCCAGACTGTGGGCGCGGAAAACCCGTTCTGGCGCAAGACGGTATAAGATACGGGTCGACGCTGCGGCAGTCATTCAGCAATCCACTGCGAACCCGTGCAAGTCGCTCACTACGCAAAGGTAAGCGTAATATGGCCGTTCATAGCAGATCAATACTTGCAACTTGTGCGCATAGAAGTAATTGCATCTAGGAATACTGTTTGTTATATACGAGGTGATGACTTTATTGGAATGCCTTTGGTGATTCTGGATTGATGCTAACTTTAAAAGATATTTGACTTCGGTGTACGATTTCATGCGAGTTACTTAGCCTTTATTTCAGCATCTCGAAAAGCTCAATCGACTTTTTGGCGCTAGCTTTTCAGTATTTGCAGCCCAGCGCGTTTTGTGACAAATGCCATCATGCATCATTTGTTTCATAATAAACTTATCATTGTGTTGAACAGTAGCCTGAACTAGCATAAGTTATCGTTAACTGCTACCCAGCATACACTATCATGATCACTAACTGGTCATTGTTTTCTTGCAGACTTCAACATGAAGGTTGCCGTCGTTCTCGCCTGCCTGCTGGTGGCCGTCGCTGCCAAGCCCCAGTTCGGCAGTTTCGGAAGTTTCGGTGGATTTGGTGGTTCCAGGGGAAGCACCAACTCTGGCTCCATTCAGGGACAGACCGGTGGTCTCCTCGGAAACAGCCAGATTCAGAACAGCTTCGCTAATGCACAGGTGAGTAGTCGTGCTGTTCTTGGGTTAGGATAGATCAAAGTGACTTTTGGAATATCATTTCCCATATCAGATGCTTTCAGCTTTCAAAGTTGTTGTTGTCACATATGACCTTAGACTGCAATAAGCATTACGCGTTTATGCGATGCTGCATTGTCATGCATGAAATCACTGTCTGGTGTGTTTTCCCTAAGATAATAGCCGTTTTCACGACGCCCATCTGGTACACATATTATGCACATTTGGTGCAGATTAGGTGCAGATTTGGTCAAATTAGGTGCAGTGTATCTCTTAGTAGCTATCAGTTAGGGTTGCGCTAATTGTTTATATGCCTGCTTTGCCATATTATCAGAGAGTAACATCGATTAAAACACTTAAATGAATTCATAAAATGAAGATATTTGCTGTACAAGAAATTAGGTGTAGATTTGGTCAAATCAGGTGCATTCGCCGGATAGCCCGTCGTGAAAACGGCTACTACTCAGGAGACAAAAAATGTCACAAAAGGCACTAAGTTCAAAATGACATTTTGCTCATGGTTTCAGGGCTCTGCATTCGGCGGTGGATCTTCCTTCAACCGTGCCAACAGCAACGCTGGTCAGAGCTTCGGACTCTTCGGAGGGCAGCAGAGCGCCAGCAACAACGCCTTCAGTAACCAGTTCGGCGGACGCTAATTGAGTGCTGCATGATAGCTAGGTCATCTCTGTATCACTAATCACGCATTATGTTCCTGACGTTTTTATATGATGGACGTTGACATGTGTGACGCATCTTTTCATCCCGCACGGGTAATACATATCTGTTGATATTGAGCAATATAGTTACTTGCACGACCAAGTCAGACTCTGAACTGAACTCTGTGGGACTTGCAATTCTGCGCACTTCAAAGGAATGGCGTCAGGCGTCATGTTATCCCTTCCTTACACTATGTTACACTATGTTACACTTCCCTTCAAAGCATTATACCTCGCCCGCACATGGGGGGGGGGGTGGTTGCCACCCCCCCCCCCACCCCCCAGGTAGTCTTTCTGCTCTGCACTCAACATTTTTAGAGCTAGAAGGCTGATTTTTCGTATAGCTGCTCCTCTATCCTTTCTTGAGGTCCACTGAAAATTTCAAGTTTCTGTGCTTTTTGTTTTCAGAGATATGACCTTGTTTTTCAGGTCATGTCATGACCCAAATGGCCAATTCTCAACATCTTGCGCCTGCCATGGGCCTTGTGAGCTTTTGACACCCTGATTTCGGCCTTTTTTGCCAGTCTTACCTCCCACCTATCATGGAACATGTTGTTCGACGATGTATAGGGGTCAAGGTCAGGGTCAAGGTCAACCTAGGTCATCTAAGATAATTGCGTTTTAGGCAAGCTGAATTTACTTTTTGTGAAGTTTTTTGACTGCATTTTTGGTAAAAGCTTCTCAGATCATGATTTCATGTAATATGGACCCAAAACAATCCGTGCACACATCAGTATACACACAGACACACACAGACATACACTCACATATAATTGACCTTGACCTAACTTGACCTGAAATGACCTCAGCAGCAAAATTCTGGTCGGGTAGTGTGACAAAGAGGTTCTAGCTGGCTTGGCACCAGAAAACAGCATCGTCATCGGTATTTGATAAGCAGCGCACTTGATATCCAACGGTGACCCAAAACAGCAACATTTTTTAGTTTGACCTGACCTGGAAGGTCAATGACTGACCTGAGAAGGTAAATCTGGGTATCATTGGATTCGTCTCTTCCCAAAGAATCTTGTTGGTCTTTATCGCTAAGCTCTATCTCCAACAGGAACGAAATGGCGCGGGGGGGGGTGGCAACCACCCCCCCCCCATGTGCGTTCTAGGATGGGAAAATGGCATGTGCGGGCGAGGGTTAAAAATTTACCTCAATTTGGGTTGCGATTCACACGTTCTGCTCCTCAAAACAAAAACATCGTTCTTCCAACCGAGGCAAGCAAGAGTTATCATCAATTCATAACAGCTGCGAAAACCATGGAAGATAAATTGATTTAGTAAAAATTTACCTGTTCAACTCCTGGAAGTCGTAAAGCTTGGATTAACCCGGCGGCCGCTGGGCCTCCGCGCCACCCGCCGGCCGCTGGGGGGGGGCATATAGTTGCCCCCCTTTACTTCCACGACGATATCGTCGCAACGCGAAGAGATAGAGAAGCGAAACTTTGCACACGTCCTTCTGAATACCTAGCCGAGGTTGTGTCCAAATTTGGTGTCGATCCCATTTGAAATGACGTCACAGTGACGTCATAAGTCAAATTATAGATTTGCGACTCTCAGTTTCCTCACGATACATCAGATGTATGGGACCGAATATAAAGAGCCGATTATTGGTCAGGAACTAGATGGAAGTGTGCTTAGATGTTTAAGGATGACAGCAGGTGCTGTCTAGTTCATTCACAGTTGAGTTTCATGCTCAGCGTCATCAGAAACGGTCCATATCGGAAAACGACAAAACTTTATGACGTCACTGTGACGTCATCTTTGGTGCTACAACCACCAAACTTTCCCCAAACATTGCCTAGGTATTCATTTGAAGCTATGCCAAGTTTCACGTTCGTAGCTCATCAGGTTTCGGAGATATTCCACAAAACGTAAGGGGGGGGCAACTTTATGCCCCCCCCCCCCCCCCCAGCGGCTCGTGGGTTAAATAGTGATGAATTAACTTGATGTAAAATAGGAGAATCTAGCGAGTTTTTTATGCAAAATATGAAAATATGAAAAATTTTAAGATTGCTTTTGCAGCAATTGGCGATCATTGTTTTGTACGTGTTCTGATTAATGAAATAAATTTATTCTATCTATCTATCTATCTATGACAAGCCGACAATAGAGTCGACCCGGCAGTATCGTGTTAGGAATGTGTGGTACTTAAAGAATATCTGGATTGCAATCCAACTAAGAAATATTGACGCCAAGGTTTTGCCACTATCATTATCAATTTGGCATCATTGCTGGTCACCTGCGTTTTTCAGAAAATTGGGCTATTGAGTGGCGAAAATGTGCTGCCGTCACCTCTCATCAGAGACAGGAAGCAGCCCCAGATCAGTACCCTTGAGCCACCACATCCCTACACACATGCAAACACATTTACTTCCACTAAGTTACTACATTTACTACATTTATCACATATACTAGGTAAATATGCTCATCCTCAGCTGCTACTTACAGTTGAGTTCATTGTTCCAGCTTATCGTGGTATACGAATATATTAAGGCAATCACAATACACATTGCATGTTATTTGACGTCTACGATAGATTCCATGAGACGTCAATGCTGTGATGCCGCAAATGCTACGGCGGTGTTACCCATAGTCGATACTATCACTAAAACTGATAGGCACTTTGCTGTGTCATATGCAAACTGATCGGCAGTTATTACTGGTGCCGAGGTCATTGCAGCCGTGATAACATGCCACTTCCATGTCCATCATTCCATTGTCCATCTATGCACCTACCTAGTATTTACCATTTCTTTAAACACACGTATGAAGTGGCCTATGATGTAACATACAGCTACAGTTAACACACATTGCCTATGAGGTTTTAGCTTGAATGCGCAAAGATAAAAATAAGATCCTATTCGGCTCCGAGGCGAACATGATTTGTACTTAGGTACGTCCACATTGTCAATTTAGTCGCACAATGCACACTCTCCATTTTCCATCTCTTATGCCTTGCATATATGCCACAGCATAATGCATATGCCACATTCATGTCATCCATCACTCATATGATTCATCATATACACCGAGATGCCGATAGTAGATATACTTTTTCCTATTGAAACCGTCGCTTGCAGACGTAAGAATACAGAAGTCGCTGCTCGCTGGGTTCGTGTAGGCACTGAGGCGACATCTATTCGCGTTTTGTTCAGCGCTCGCCGCCAACAGCGGCTACGAGACCTGGGCAGTCTGCATTTAATTGGTGCCACCTTATTTCTATGGGTGCCACGATGTCTTTATGCCTCATAGAGCGGGTGAACATGCAATCAGTGGCGGCATAATAGGGAGAGCAGGGGGTACAGCTGCACTCCCATCGAAAAACATAGGGCGCAAACATATCTTTTTGCACCCCAAAATCCGTACAAGGGGCCCACCACGCCATCCAATGCATTTTTCTCCTGAAACCAGTGATCAGGAAACGAACGTTGATGTGCGAACTGGGCTATGCTGGTATCTGAGGGCCCTGCGACGGTCTCTTGAGGGCCCTAACGCGGGCCTATGACGGCCTTAACAATGCCTCTGAGGGCCTTGCAAAGGTCTCTGGGGGCCCATGATGAACCTCACGATGGCCAAGGACCCTCATGACGACCTCTGATAGTCCTCTCGAAGGCTTCTAAGGGTCTTCATAACAACATCCGAGGGCCCTCAAGACCCAAAGCAAGCTCCAAAGGCCCACGGTAGCGTCAGGGCCCCACGACGGCCACTGAGGAAATCGTGTTGTTCATAATTCAATGATAATCACTGAAAAGTAAAAAGGGGGCTCAAAACATTCATAGGGGGGCCTAGAGAAAATTTTGCACCCCCATTCAAGCCTACCTTCCGCTGCCGCTGCATGCAATGTTGATTCGAGAAAATGCAATGACTTATATGATTGACTATATGATACAAGTGTCATGCCTACTGATATAGGTATTATCGGTTGTTAAGAATTTTTGATGCCATAGGGAGGTAAAGCAGGAACTATAGTTCCCTTTTTGAAATCAGTTTGGCTGCAGGTTGATTATTGAAGCTCGCACCTGACTTTTGGCAGCTTCAGCGTCTGGCCAAGAATTTCTCACAGCTAAAATATTACATTTCGAATAATGCTCGGTAAGTATGTGGAATTCGTGTCTTCAAAATAAGCATACTATGATGTTCTCGTGGCTATCCAACGTCCGTTCGATGGCACAAAGTGTCAACGAATTCGATGAAAACTTCGTTTTTACTTGTACCAAGGTTAGAATCGAGTAATCTGTTCTGTCCAGGGTAGTTATACACTACGTTTTAATGCAAGTTTGACAGCCTGACATCACCACTGTTCTAATATTTAGCTTCAAAATGTATACCTACGGATTGAAATTATTGAGAAGAAAGCACATGTTGAAATTAGTCGACGGCCGATTTTCTCAGGTTCAGTTTTTGCCCGTTTCGCTGGCTAAAACACTTGCTTATTCGGAAAATATACTTGGAGCCAAAGGCCTTTTGAAAAAAAACTATATCACCAAAGCGCACGCGTGAACATTATGGGGTGAATAATACCCGTGTTAAGTTTTAGCCAAGTTCGATTTTCTTAGGCTTAGTTTTTGCTCTTTTCGCTGGCTAAAACGTATGCTTAGTCGAAACGTACTTGGAGCCAAACCGGTTTAAAAAACGAACTTAATCAATTTTCACGGCATGAATGTGGACATGAAAGATGCTTAGGTCATTCTAGAAAATTTTGGGAAAAAACTGGAAAGGGATTCCTATATCGAGTAAGACCGATGCATCCATCTATTTACAATTGAAGAAAAGTCAAAACTTATAAGTACAATCGTAAAATATAAAATGATGCTAAATATAAAATGAAATATAAAATATAAAATCATAACACTATTGATCCAACACTACGTTTGTATCTTAACTATGATAATTGCTACCTACAACTTTGACTAGCCATGTCATATGCATTATGCAATATCACATCTATGATTCAACAAATTGTTCAGATGCATTCCTTCCTATTTAGATATTCGTTCAGACCATATCCTTTCCCATAAATGAATTGCCATCACATTTCTATTTGACCGCGCACGCGACATGGAAGTGCGTAACACGCGTAAAGCAATGTCCATTACGTAATACGCAGCTGCCAACTATGATCACAGCGCACACCTGAGCTCTCCGGAAGTTGCGAGAGGGTAGCAACTAGCAAGCATAGTTACAATCGGCAATCCTTACTTTTATCTTTGCACCGTTAAGGCTGCAGAAATCTCACTCACATTAATTGCACGCTCCTCGGTGGGACGATTGGTGCGAGCCAGAACAAATGTATTAGAATAGGCTCACGCATGCGATTACCTGACTGCCGAAAGAGTCGGTTTCAGCCTTTGCACGTGCATGATAGCATTACACTAAGCGCAGTTGCTGTAAAACGACTTCCCATATTCAGTGGCCTTGGAAAAACTAAGATTAGGGCCGAATGACCTGAATTATGTACATGGCAGTTATGCTTAACAGCAAAGGTGATTTTTAGACTTGATCTGGCTCTGCGGCCCCAATTTTACGTCCCCTGCTTAGCATGATATAACTAGTTAGGTACCAATAACACATAGTCAACATGGTTACCGGTAACGCATGATTCGCTATCCCCAATTGCAACGCAGGCAAGTATTTCCTCGCTATGTTATAAGCGTCAGATGACAAAGTGCGGCTGGGGAAAGTTTAGATCAAAATTCCGTAATATGTAATAAAAACACAAAGGATTATGAGATTCTAAGTAACGGCGAGCTTCAGCTGTGCTTATATTCATCCAGCATTCCTCGGCTGCTGATATCTTATGGACAAATGCTAGTTATATAACATAACCTGTACACGTAACACTTAAATAACCGGTATTCGTAACGAGGGGCCAAGGCTGTCAGCGCCGTTGAGCATTGGGTCGCTAGCCGAGGCTGGGGGAAAAGAGGAAGATGCTGATTAAATGTCACGAAGTGTGAGCTGATGACAGGACCTTAGCGCGTCATAAACCAATGTCGGCGGTCAGACCGATTTAGTTATCAAAAACAATCATGGACAACATCACTTACGCTCGGTGTACCTACTTTATTTAATTACTTAATTTAATTACTTAATTTGTTTAATTTAGTTACTTAATTTGCATAAATTACTTAATTACTTAATTTACTTACTTTAATTACATAATTTTCTTAACTTAATCACATACTTCATCTAGTCACAGCCCAGACAAGCGAGATCAAACGATGTTACAAATATTACGATTTAAGTGTGAAACAGGAACAATGTGTTATCCAAGCGGCAAGCGCCTAGCATCTTGGTAATCCAAGATAAAAGTTAGGCATTGCGCTTATGCGTAACTTATCACACTGAACAACAAAAAGGCACACGAAACAGGTATGACAGGTATGACACTCGTCTCTTACATAACATGCACCGTAGGAAGCAGCACGACTTTACGAGGGAAACGAACGTCAAAGTGAATCTCGCTGTCACCATGGCTTTGGGGTTCTCAGAATTCCGCAGACTTGTCTGCATTTTGGATAAACCCATGCCAATACCCACTATATAGGTAAGGTGAGCCTGCCACGCAAGTCTCATCATTCAGCGTACGACTCCCTCTGTGACAGAACCTCTGCAACGCACTAAGGTTAGTGAAGTCAAGAGTCAGCGAAATATCAGGTGACATAATTAAGAAAATTTTGACCAGTGTCTTTTTATGACAATGAATGTCTGAATTAATTTTATATACTTCCCTTTACTCTTTGATGTTTTTTTTTCATTGAGTTGAGACAGTCATATGCTACTAAACCTCAGCCTTATGTTACTAAATGATTTTTAATGGCCAGGAGAAAGAGACATGCAAGCATGAGGCTTTGTCATCAGACAATGAGCCTCAAAATTGAACATTTATTCTTTAATGTTTATTCATACCCGGTAGCAATAAAACTTTTCCCACTTTAAAGACGAACCTTTTCTAAAATATTTGTAAACACACAACTTTTCATCGTGTGGAATAGCGACATATTTTGATGTCATGATAAAGGTTGAGTGAAATAACATGCCTATAACTGTAGTCCTTGAACTTAAACTAAGCGCTGCCTTTTTGCATTTTTTTCTCCCTTTTACCATTAAAGACTAAATTCCTTACCCATACCGAGATCATGGTGTGTCAAAAGTGGAAATAGCCGGTGCGCCGTCTGGCAACCCGGCAGCCAACTGCATAGGGAAATTCATGCTTTTTGTCGCTTTTTCGCTCCCTATGAGTCATTTGATCTAATTAGAGCTTAACTAGGAACGAGGCGGGCCACTTGGACGTATTCGGGTGCCGAATACGGTGTTTTGGAGCCAATACATGGGAAACCCTACCCGCCCAATGCGAGTTTTTAAGAGTCTGCATGCCCAAAGTAACGCTGAGCGCGGCCGTTTTCGGTCAGTTTTCCCCGACCTTGTGGTGGAATCTTCTTATTTATTCAACCAGGGTGGGCTAATTCGCTTAAAGGGACTATCCCACCTTTAACATGGGATTTGAGTTGAGATAGCCAAGTTTGCGGCGAGGTTCAGAAACCACTATCTATCTAGGTTGCAACCCCCGCGGCCTCTTGGTGTTGAAGAAATTCGTTCCCTTCATTTGAAAATGGGCCTTGTGCAAGGCCCTATCTTCAACATGGAGCGACCGTTAGTGTGACGTCACCTCGTTTAGTCATTCTGATTTAAATGGGTTTGTTCGTTGAAAAATCGCTTAAAACTTGGTCTGAACAACGGCTGCCGCCGGCCGCCGCGCCGCCGCTCTGGCAGGGTGTTTGACTTCATATCTCTGTTGCTAGAAAAGTTGTAGACCGATTTACTTGATTCTTGCATGAAAAGATCCGCCATTCAATTCTTAGCAGATAACGACAATTTGACGTGAATTGCACGATCCGCTGCCCATATTGTTGTACTGCCATCTATTGTCAAGGCTGGCGAACTAAAGCCGGGCGGTTATTTCCACTTTTGACACACCAGGGCCCAATCTCACCAAGTGCGGTAAACTCATTTTGCGGTAACCTACCCCAAAACGAATCTCACCACTGCCGTAATTTTTTATGTTACCGCATCGAAATAACCCCATGGGATAGCTTCGGTTTTACTGCAAATTCTTCATGTGCGCAGCTGCTCACGGCCCGAAAGCAAGTAAACAAACCAAACAATCAGCTGATTGCCCCCAAATGTCGGACAAAAATTACTGCAGACATTTGTGCCGTAATCTCTAAATTTTATACTAATTGTGAGCAAGAATCAACAATTAAAGATGTAAAAAGAACTTTATAAGAAAGAAAAGAAATAAGTTTCTTTTTTAAGATTATTTTTATTGCAGCCTGCGCCACCTATGCTTCCTATTTGCAGTACCCAAAACAGCATGTAGATGTCGCCCGTGAGTCTTGGAAACTGAGGTGCCGCTTGGAAAGAAGAAACACGCTCTCGTTGCCATGGCGACAAAACAATTGCGTTCTTTATATGGCGCCGGCGTGATTAGCAGCTTTTCTACCAATCCGAAGCGTCGAAAAATGGGGTTCTTTTGCAGGATTTGCACAAAATGCGGTAAATTACAGCATGGGGCAGTTTGGGTTGGCGAGATTGGATTATTTGCTTGGGGTTATTTCGGTGCGGTAACTTACCGCAACCCCAAACGAGTTTACTGCACTTGGTGAGATTGGGCCCATGTGAGTGTCTTATCACTTGAATTTACATAGTCATCAGTGACATCACAGACAAATATGTATTTCGATTAATTTTGAACTAATAATGACTTATTTTGCACTGATAACAATATAATGACCTCAGGACTCGACCGTTCATCCAGCTTGTTAATGAGAGGCTCCATCAAAATGGCATTGGAGTAAGAATTTTGGCGTGGTGCTTGTTTGATATAGGAATTTTCAACATCAAAATGCGACCAACAATTAATCAACATTCATTTAGAAATTGCAGCAGGGGGTTCGAGTAAACCGAGCAGTAACTAAAAGAGGATATGCAGGCTCTGACAAGCAAAGTGCAGAGAAGCAATCAAACAGTAGTTGTTCTCCGAAGAGAAATTCCCGGGAACTTCAGGCAGACAAGACACCAAAAACCTGGCTGTTCACGGAGCATTGTCCAGTGTCCACGGTCCAGCGCCGGTTTAAGCCCTGAGGGCAGTCATAGAAACTCTGAAAAGGGAGTTACTTACGGCTAGTATCAGGCGGAAAAACCTGTAGTGAAAGCACCTACCAAACTGGTGTGCGCCGCAGAAGAAGCGATCCAATCTCACGGCGCATACGATGACGAAGAATGACAAAAATTGATAGAGGGGAAAGTTTATGGGGCCGCTTTTTTACTTCAAATGCAATAAAAGAACAACAAATGGCCAAAAAGTTATTAAATTTTGAGCAAACAATGGCTAAAATGTCACTCGTCGCGATGCATGGTGCGGCTCGCGAGATGCGGCTGTTGAAAAGGAGTGGACCTTACGGTCCCGGGTCCTGTTCGTTCCGCGTCGTTGGGAGGGCTGAAGGGGCCGGGCGAGCGTTACGTTTTACTGTGACTTATGCTGGTGCGACGTGTGCGGTGTACAGTCTGTCTTGAAAGTACCGCGCAAAGTAACGGGTCGGTGGATCCATCAAGCCTGATCGAGGAAGGACCTGCTAAATTTGAGTCACCGAAGCAATTGACATCCTCGTCCATTCCCCAGGTCAATTGGTTCGGTGACCCGCCCGCATAGTCCCGTCGCCAGTAGCCAGGCCTTCAGTGATCATTTCGGGCTCGGTCGTTAACCCTGTTCTTTCATTTGCAGCCTTTCATCATGAAGACCGCCGTCGTTCTCGCCTGCCTGCTGGTGGCTGTCGCTGCCAGGCCCCAGTTCGGATTGGGCACTGGTCTTGGAACTGTCGGAACTCTTGGAACCGGCCGTCTCACCACGGGCGTAAGTCCAGCTGATTCGTGTAATCTGTCGGGTAGGAGGGTGTGCTTCAAACGGGTGGAGTCAGTTTAATCAGCTTAGGCTAAAACGGCTTACTGTTGCGCGCGTTCAGTCGTAGGTCCTTTGGTACGTCATTTGCTGGCTGCGTTACGTAATGTTTTATAAGGTAAAATGTACTTTTCCATTCTCATCATGAAAGCAAACCTTCCGAGACCCGTCCATTTTCTATAGAAACGGCGTGGCGCAAAGAGAAGACGGGGGGGGGGGTCAGATGCGCTCTCTTCCTGCCGCATCGCCAACCTAATTGGCTTAGCAAAAACGAGCAAGTGTCTCGTTACAAATGCCATCAATTTCCGTTTAAATCCATACTTTTTCGCGAGTATTTGTTATATGCGTGGGCTAACATGTTTCCGCGTTGCAAGGTAAGAATGTTTCTCAATTTTAAGAAATCAGATCAACTGGTGAGCTCTCATCTGAGAGCACAGACCAAAATGCCTAAAGTGCGGTTTTTGCTGAGAAAAGCGTCGTCAAAAACTATAGTAACAGCGGCATAATTTCGGCACCACGGTATTCAGCATGCTCAGCGGCCATAAATGATGTACCTTTTTCCGTTAAAGGATTATTTTAGTGTTACCTTGAGGTTAAGGCGAGGTCAAAATAGGTGTTCTGTTTAAGGTACCATGCTTCCGTGACAACAAACACTGCTCATTTCCAGGGTTTGGGCACAGGCCTCGGACTCGGCACAGGCCTGGGAGTCGGCGGACTCGGCACAGGCCTCGGTGTCGGTGGACTCGGCACAGGACTCGGACTCGGCACAGGCCTCGGTGTCGGTGGCACTCGGGTCACTACTAGCCAGACGACTTTCGGCAACACTTTCGGGGTGGGTCGCTAATCCACAGATTCTGAGTGCATACTTGAAGAGTACACTTATGTACACCTTTTCGGAACCATGCGATGTCAGTCTCGTGGAAGTTTTTCATTGAAGGAAACAGTGTGACTGTATATCGTTTGCTCATTGCTGTGCATTACTTGTTGTCATTTCATAATAAATATGCAATTTTAGAGGTTTCGTGGGTTTATTATGCTTGTGCTATAGCATGCTGAATGAAGCCGGTCATATTCATCAAACGAGCGGGAACAAGGTAAAACGTAAAAAAAAAACATGTTATGCGTGCCTTTCGGGCATGCAATACACCATTAACCCGCGCGGGGCTGGGGGGGGGGGTAAATTTTACCCCCCCTCGCGAATTTTTGCGATATCTCAAAAACGGCGGCGCGCAGCGCCGCCAAACTTTCAGTACCTTTTCTTACATCAATTTGACACGTTCCCTGAAAATTTGAGCGAAATCCGTCGGAAAATTTTTGCGAAATTGACGTTTTAGTGACGTCATGTTCGCCATTTTCGCCTCAAAAACGGCAAAAGTTCAAACGCCGCTAACATCTTCATTTTTAAAGGAATCAAGACGTAACAAAAAAGGTTATACGTAATTTTACTTTGTCTATCAAATGGCTATCTCGGTTTTTTGAAAATATTGGATTTTGGCCTAAATTTTTTCAAAAAACTGACTTTTTTGGGAAAATCATTATAAAATCCAAAATTTTGAGTCTATCAAAAAAACCGGAATATATGTCAGAGAAGTGGTCTATGTGCACCTACATACCAAATTTTGGAAGAATCGGTTCAAAAATGTGGGAGTTATTCAAAATTTTATGACGTCACGACACACAAAATTTTTGAAAAATGACTTTTTTGAAAGTTCTAGACCTCGTACGGAAACAAAAATAGCACCATTCGATTCGCCGTGAAAAACTGCATCAGATAGACACCTTTTTAGGCCTTAACAACCAACTTCAAAATTTGACCTCACTTGACCTGACCTTGACCTGACCTCGACCTGAAATTCATCCAGAGGTGGTCCATATCCCTTATTGAGTGTGCCTATTGAATTCCATGAGTAAAATGACCCATAAAACATGTGTCGCACATGCCCTTTTCTATATTTTGTTTTTTGGTGACCTGACCTGACCTGACCTGACCTTGACCTTGACCTCTGAATGATATTGTATGCAACGAATATTGTCTTGGTAGCCTAAGAACACGTTTTGGGCGATCAGTCTCAGTCCATGACTCCATTCTTCGGCAACTACGGTGCAAGGCCGATACTGTAGAAACTCGCAATTTGTACCCTTGACCTGACCTTGACCTTGACCTCAAACTTTAAATTAAGTACATGTTTTTAGTAGTTCGTGATGAGAGCTTTCGATTGGCGTTTGAATTTTCCAAATCGGACCATTAGTTTGGGAGATAACAGGGGGGGGTAAAATTTACCCCCCCCCCCCAGCCCCGCGCGTTCGGCTGGAGACCCCAGCCCCGCGCGGGTTAAATGTGCAAGTTTGAGTCGCGTGTGGATTCATCCATAGATCACTCGTGACATCGAATACATCATGTCGTTAAAGACGATTAGGATTTACGGATGCCGAATCAAAATGAGGTCGTCAATGACAGCTAAGACTGACACAATTACAGCCATTAATATTAACCCTCGCCGGCACGGGGGGTTGATGACAGGGGGTTGATGCAATCCCCCTAAGGTTTTTCGCGAATAACTCGCGTAAAAAGCGGCCGATCGCGACAAACTTACAGTACCCTCGCATTGATCAATTTCACACCTACTATGAAAATTTCATGACCCTGACCCAAATGACCTTTGACCTGTGACCTCTTATCCGAGACCATGTTTGGCCGGAATCGCGATTCGGCGTATGTTGGCTCGCATTAGCCGCGCGTTTGCAAGCTTTTCGTGGTTTCAAACGTTTTGACATGTGATTTGATGTTGCTCCCATATATTATGGTGGGTGTCAAGGTCACCTGAAGGTCAGATCAGGTCATTGACCTTTGGTGACCTCGGGTGACCTCGGTTCACTTTTTCGAGTTTACATGTTTCTAGGCTAGTTTTTGGAGCTGAATTCGAATTTAGCAACCATTTGAACATTTACGAAGTAGTTTTGAAGCCTTCATAACATGTTACGAAGCTGTAAGAGGCGGTTGACACGTATTACGAATACCCGTCACAACCCCTACCGGTTGCCCTGACGTGACCTGACCCGACCTGGTCTAAATGCTTAAAGACATCATCTCTGATCAAACTTACACGATATTCGTGATCAGCACCCCGGAAAACCCCATTGCAGCTGTAACATTGTCAGACACTGTACCATATGTCAGAGATTGTATGCATGACGACCGACGACCGAGGCGACCCCTACTCTGAGTCGTCGACTGCGCCGGCCGCCGCCGGACAGTCAGCATGGTTCAGAGAGCAGAATCGGTCAGGGGGTGAGAATCGGTCAGAGAGAGAGAGAGAGGAGAGAGAGAGAGAGAGAGAGAGAGAGAGAGAGAGAGAGAGGGAGAGAGAGAAGGGAGAGGAGAGGGAGAGGGAGAGGGAGAGGGAGAGGGGAGAGAGAGGGAGGGGAGAGGGAAGAGGTAGAGAGAGAGGGAAGAGTAGGAGAGAAGAGTAGAAAGAGGAGAGAGA